GACCAGAATTTTTTTCCTTTGTCTGAGACATTGAAATCTTCCCCGACACTGTGCCCAGCACCATTTTTTTTTTATAAGGTCTTAATGGGTTAACTTAAATCACCCCTGTTTCAGAGTCATATTTAGCCATTGTACACCGGATTTGAAACTGAATATGTTGTCTGTGATAGCACCTTGAAAGCCACAGTGAGCAAGGAGAAACAATGTTGAGTTCACAGGATTCAAACACCAAATTTTACAACTGACGCATAGCTTTGTGTCATGGATCAAAGCATAGTGTTAATAATGCTCCCAGGGTTGTATCTGACCTGCTTGTTCTCTGGTTTACTGGTCAAATCACATTGTTCTCATTGTTGAACTGAACTTCTGCCTCTGTGTCATACCTGGGTTATGATATAAGCTGTGAGGTATTATTTTGACATTTAATGGCTAGTCTGGATATGCATTACAGATATATGTAATTCAGTTCTTTCTAATCAAAAAGAACATTTCAGATATTCACAATGACATTTTTCCTATCCACAATTGTCATTTCAGATATCCACAATTTCATTCTTCTTTCGACAAATTACGTCACTTTTCCCATTCATGTGTATGGGGTTTCTCATTACAGATATCCTTAATTCAGTTGTAGGTAGCCACAATGTCAAATCTGGATACTAAATTATGACCATCCATAATTCCAGTTTGAGATCTCTACACTTTAATCCTGACTAGTCATAATTCCAATTCAAGATATCTTCAACTCCCGTCAATTAAAGATATCTATATTGTCTTTTTTAGATATCTTAAATTATGTTTTAACTAGTCAAAACGATGTTATAGATATCTTGAACTCAATTGTGACTAATCAGAATTAAATTGTAGATATCTCAAACTGGAATTATGGATAGTCATAATTGTAATTGTAGATATCTATTATCAAGTCATAGATATTCAAATGAATTTTGATTGGAGATATCTTTAACTTTCATTCTGCTTAGTCAAAATGTAATTAAAGATATCTTGAAATAGAGTTATGACTAAGCAAATTGATGTTGCAGATATGTGTAATTATGTCAGAAGTTATGGCAAGTAAGAGGAGGGGCTTGCCGTAGGTGGGAGCCGCTTACAATCGTATGTCTGGAGACAATAAATGTTCCATATGATGGAAATTTCTAGCACAACTCTCAAGTGAACGAAGTTCTTGTTCTGCAACCGTCATTTCTTCTGCTAACACTGTTCAAATTTGCTGGGTGAATATCCAATGGAAAGCCTCTTCCTCTCTTCCTCCTCCTGGAAAGCCTCGCATGAGCAACATCATTCACAACAATTCTGTCGAGTCAAAATGATGTTTGCGATATTATTAGCTTTAATTCTGCCTAGTTAAAACTGATTCACAGATATCTGCAATTGTCATAGATGTTTGACGAGTCGAATGTTGTTTTCAGTGATGTCATTGCAGATATCTGTAATTCAATTTTGACTAGTCAAAATGTAATTACGACCAGTCAAAATTGTGTTGTTAACTGTAATGTTAATTCCATATAGTCAAATTTAGCCATTTAAATTTTAAAACAACTCACCATAGCAGCCCACCACAGAATCAACATTGGATGGACCACAACAGCAGGAATGTGGAATGTCTCTGACTGACTGACTGACTGACTGCCTGACTGATACTGATCATATTTCTGCCACTGGTCAGCTGAGTGCCTCGTCACTGAGTTCCTGGTGCAAACAGGTTCTATCAGGGGGGTGTTTACAGCTGCAGTGTTGACAACTTGTCACATTGTCTGTAGAGTCAATTTTTTTTCTTCTTTTTTTTCAAACAAACTGGGTATAACCTGGTTCGTCACTGGATTGTGTATGGATGCCGACTGGAGGCTAGGGGTTACACCTCTTAATACAGGCAGTCTACTGAGCTGTTCTGGATTCCCAGCTGCTTGGGAATTGCAGGGATGAGGAGGAGTGCTTCCAATACACTGTAACTCGGTTCCATTACAGCAAATAAACTCCTTTCATTCCATGTATCATTACTACTAAAGGAGGCAGAGGGATAACTAAACATGAGACACGGCCAGCAAAGAGAGCAGGAGAGAGGGAGGGAGAGAGAGAGAGAAGTCCTCACTAACAAGGCTCCACAACCAACTTTAAATATCAAACAGGGAGTTAGACATAAAGACCTGCATCTAATAAAAGTCTGTTAAGTTCTGGAGTAAATAAAGACTAAACTATTGTGGATCCCAGACGGAGGCTGTGAGCTGTATGAGAGACTAAATGAGAGATAGTCTGTCTCAGGCCCCTGGGGTTCATCTGGTGGAGCGTGTGTCAGTTGGGTTTAGTTTTTGACACAGAGGCCCAGGTTCGGGTCCTGCCTGTGGCCCTTTGCTGCGTGTTTGTACTGTCTGTGTCTCTCTCCTCAATTTTCCCTTCTCTCTATCTCTCTCAATTAGACTGTAATATAGGCAAAAGCCTGAAGAAATAACCTAAAAAAAAAAAGAGCCTGTCTCTTCTTTCTCTCTGAGTAATCATTTTACAGTAAATACAGCTGAAATCACAGCTCAGTCTATGTCTTTCATCGATGTGTTTGGTGATTTTGTCAGACGACATCAGAAATATCAGGATTTCACCAGAGGTGGTCCAGACATAAACTAGGGTTTGACCTTGACCTTGTTTTTTTGTTTAGTTTTTTGTTTGTTTTTTAAAAATCACCTTAATTGTAGTGTCGCCGTGCAGTGCATGGATTCACTCAGCCACTCTTTGTCCCCCTCTTGCTTACCCTGTGATTGGTTTGACACAATGTGACGCAATGGAGTTATATACGTTGTTTAGTTCAAACTACTTGACAATTAAAGAATTTGCAGTGGAGCGCATACTATACAGTAATATTTAATACCAAAGCTGCTGAAAAGAGCTGCAATTGCGTTTCAGGCAGTGGCTCCCTGATATTTTGTGACTGTTCAAACAGGTGAATATTGCTTATTTTGAATCCCAGCAAATGAGGTTTCCTAAATTAATTTCAAAGGGGGGAGAGGAGGGGTAAAATGTTTTATGTGATGATGATGATTATATGATAAAACTTTTAAATTAGAGAACATCTTTATGCTACCTGGCATGTATGCAGGTTTATGTACTGTATTGGTATTTCAATGCATATATATGCTGCTACAGGTGAGAACTACACCGAAAGCAACCAATAAATTTAAGTTATGCTCTTTGCAGCGTGTGCACGAATATACACTTGGTTTGCAGTTTCTTAGGTAAAGCGAAGTAAAACTAATGCAGTCTAATACAACAGTCCTGCAACACATTTCCCTTTCCCCAGCAGAAAGTTGGTGCACAGCTTACTGACAGCAGAAGTGAACGTAGGACTCATAGTTGAAGGATCCACTGTCAGCATTTTAGCGTTTAGCCAGACAAAGTATGCACCTGTATTAGTCAGTAAAAATTTTAACTTTATATGTAGCAAATTGAAATATTTGACGGGGGGTTAAAAGTTTATAGATCATGGATGCAATAAAATAAGATTTGGATGCACCACTTTGCTGGAGCCAGGCTAGACACATGGAATATGTATATAATAAAAGAAAAAAAATTACTTGAAAAGATATGACATTCAACTAGACAGAAGCTACAGCAGGTTGAGAAATACAGAACCAAGAGGTACTTAATGGCCTAGTTGTCCAACGGCCCACCAGGGAAACTCCTGGTACTCAAGATAGCCAGTCTGCCCTTGATCACAAGAGTGGGACAGAACATGATATCTCCGACCCTGGCTGGTGCTGGCGCTGTCACAGGCATAGGCATTAAAAGTAATAACTCATGTTACTGACGAGATACATAAAATTTGTCAGGTCTGAAAGTGGAGTACAACCACAGGAGGTAGAGAGGACTGCTCATGGAGAGGATCAGAGTCAGAGTGCAAAACAGGACGAGGAGTCAAGGCGAGGATATTCAGTTGCCATGTCATTAGGCATTTATCAGTGCAAAGTCGACACTTGTGTGATTTTAACATCACTTTTTATTCATTTTCCCCAAAGACATTTTAAACTACAAATCCTCCTGGAGACCTGGAATATTTAAAGTATGTGTATTACAGATATTATAGACCCATTGTTACACTGGGATATTGTTTGTCTTTCCTCACCGGAAAATAATCACACTATACAGTACATGATAGGAGGATAGGAGGAATGATAAAAGCGAAAACAAAATGCAGTTTAGAAAGAATCTGAATTTTCTCATTCAGCCAAATATCAGCTGAGAAAATATTCAGCTGCTACAGATTTTAAAAATTCTAGAGACACAAATGGTGTATTTCTAAATGTGACGCAAAGGGTTTGTCCGTGAGGTGAAAGATTGACGCCTGCATGTATTCCTGGTAGCCCAAATATGTTCTAATAGTTTTATCATATAATCATCATTATCTCAAAACAACATTTTTTACCCCTCCCCTTACCCCTTTGAAAAATGTAACACAATGAACCATTTACTCATTACATTTTAACTGACTTTGTATGTTGAGAACATTTTTATACAAGTCATTTTACTTGAGTAAAATGTCTTTTAAATAACTGTACTACTTAAAAGACACTGTTTTCCAGTACTCTTTCCACCCCTGCTGAAAAACGTGACAGATGGCTGCTAGACAGTGCTGCTGCTGTTACTGTTCTGTCAGGGAAATGAAGACATATGAAGCAAGCAGACCAAATTGCACCAGTCCAATTTTGTCCATGTATGTCCATCGATGGCACAGAGGAATCCTGCACATAGTATTCTCTATGAATTGGACTTTTTTTTTTTTTTACATTTTTTTTTTTTTTTTTTAATTCTGCTATAAAAGAAAAATGTTCAGTTTGTTGCCTATCTAAAGTGTAATTTAGCATTCTATGCAATGTAATGCTTTTGTTGACATCCTTGATCGTCATGACTATGGAGTTGGCAGGCACGTTCAGTCAGGTAGAGAGACTGCTCTACTTTCAGCCCCGCCCAGATACCTGCCAGCTTTGATATGCACTTGTCCGACAAGCACATTGTCAGTGAGGTGTGGCATTGCTCTCAGTGTAGGAAAGTTGGAGCAAGTTTTACTGAGGACAAATTGACACTGAGGGAAGCTGAGTAGGACAATCTTTTTGTAGTGTGATTTATTTTTATTTATTTTTTGAGAGAATGTTGAAGGGATTTCTTGTGGACTACTGAAGGAACATCTTAAGACATCAGGCCAACACAGGTGTGTTTCATTTGTTATTGTGCTACCAAGACTTCAGTTTCAAGGGTGCTGTCCGTGCCCTCATTATATGGTTTTACATGCAAGTGTTAGCTACCAGCCAGTAACTGGCTGTTGTGCACTGTTTCATTAATTTTCAGAGTAAGGGTGGGTGATATGGATAAAGCCTACATGCCATGTGAAATTTTACATAATGGTATATGGATATGTTTCAATATGTCAACATATTGTAAACTTTAACCAAAGTTTACCATAATTGCCCAATTCACTTTGAGATACTAAATTAGTGTGTGTGTGTGTGTGTATGTATATATATATATATATATATATATATATCTCCATTTGTAATAACAGTTGTAGCTCAGGGCTATAGTTCGTTCTATTTCTGGGTTATGATCAGGTGTTTTGATCATTTTTAAAGCATTTGGATGCTTCTCCAGACATAAATGATAATCCAGTGATAAATTATCTAATAATCAACAACTAGGAAAGTAAGAACCAAGTTGATGTTTGGTTCAGGGTATAGCAGCTGATGGGGTGCAGGTCCGATTGTCCATCCTGAACTGAAGTGGAAAACATCCCAATTTACTTGAACACAATATCATGTGATAAAGGCTTCCAGCTCTCAGCAACTTCCACCAGAATCTGGTAGGAGCCTCTCAAAACTTAAGACTGGAATTTAAACAGTGAACACTTCCTTTTACAGGCTGTTGTCACCTTCTGAATGAGAACAGGGAATGGCATCAGTTGAGGAGGGCGGTGTGTTGCTTTTGACATTTTTTTTTTCCAGAGGAACAGGAAGAGCCACTGAATGTTCAACAGGCTTTCTGTTGACTATGGTTTGATGCTTATTATGCATTTGCATTTTATTATGCATCAGTTGTTTGACAAATATAATTCCTTCACATTTGGTGAGTGCATCCACTAAGGAACGATTTATTTGATGATGAGCTGGGTTAGAAAATATGAGAAACAGTTTTTCCTAATATAGTTAAAGGTTACAATGTATGACAAGGGTGTAAGAGGTGTTGAGAGGTAAGAATGTAAAACATTTGTGTAAATTGATTTTTTTTTTTTTTGTCGTTGCAAAGATTTGAAGCTCTTGGGCTTAAGACACAATGCTTCAGAACACAGGCTGAAAAAGAAATCATAGCTATTCCTCATTTCTTGATTCCCTGATTGAAACTTTCCAATCAGAAAAACACATAATGTAACTGTAGCAACATTTACATTACATTTACATTCACTCAAATGGGAAATGCTTTTATCCAAAGCGACTTAAAAGTGAGGCACAACACAGCAAGGTATGCAGAGCACACCCAGGATATATTTGCAAGGTTTCTCTTTTCTCTTAACAGGAACGATCCTGAGTTTTATTGCATGTGTCTTTTATTTTCTTTTTTATACTTTAAATAACTTAAGATAGCAAAGTACATTATCAGCAAGGTTTCACAATAGTCACAGATTATCTTGGAATTGTTTTACCTTGTTTGAACTTGATTTTGTTTCTGTTAGTTTATTAAATTTTTCTGTCTTCATGATTGATTTAACACTGTACTGTTGACACTTCTCATTGACCTATGCAGTACCTTGTACTTTGCCATGAGACACATCCTGCCCTGAAGTTCCTTCGACTCCATGCAAAGATTTCCTCCTCACGTTACACTGATGGACCCTCAAGTGTGTCCGCCCCCCCTGAGCAGCAGCCAATCAATGCTAAGCGGCCTTGACAAATCCCCAGCCAGCACATTTAAACCTGGCCACTCACGGAACAGCAGCACTGGCTCCTCCAAACAGTCAAAGCAGGTAACAAGCCTGACAAGTACAAAATCTGACTGTACCGACTTGTTTTGAGTGTGTGGAAAAAATAACGTTCATGTTGCACCCCTTGCTGCCTGTATTAATCTGTTTACTATATTTAATGGTATTGTATTTATACCATTTTAGCCACTTACAGATTCACAGTTTTGATTATATTTTGACTTTTTTGTTCATAAAATAGCTTAGAAATTATAATCTATTAGCCGTAGCTTTAAAAACAGATGATATTATTGATCTGTTTATTGTACCTTTACATTTACTAGTCATTGGAAAAGCATCAGAAAAAAATGAGAAGTAGCAATGACAAAAATGAAAATCCTTGTGGTTTGTAATAATTATTATATAGTTGGTCAAAATACTTTTGACCTACAATGAATGCTTTTATTTTTTACAATTAGTATTTTTTAATCTATTTTTTTCTTTGCTTGGCACAAATGCTCTTCCATTTCATAGAATTACTTTGTTTCTCAAAACATTTCAACTTTATTACAAAATAAACCAAAATTAGTCAAGACTAAGACTGTTGGTGTGAATGTGTTAAGGTGTTTTCTCTCTGTGTCTGACAGGCTCGTGACTGGGAGGTAATGGAGGACTTGCAGCATCTGGACATGTGTTCTGTTCCTGGCTCCTCTCTGGACCTCAGTATCCCTGGGATCTGTGAGGGCTACTTGATGAAGAGGAGGAAGTACCCACTCAAAGGCTGGCACAAGGTGAGCACAACACAGATTGAACAGCATCTGAACTTTTCTGCTCTGTTTACACAGGTTTAACATAATGTAATAATATAGCAGAGCTGTTCTACCTTCTAACCAGTCAGCATGATGCAACTCCAATGTCCTATGGGTAGTCTTTGTTTTCCTTGTAACACTTAACTATGATTGGTCCGTTTCAGAGATACTTCCTTTTGGAGAAAGGAATTCTAAGATATTCAAAGACACAGCAAGATGTAAGTCATGAGCAGAAATATAGCTTCCAAGACTAAGCTGGCCCACAGTCCTAACAGATCTATGTAAATGTGTTGAATAGGTAATGAGAGGAAATGTATAAAACATACTCTGTCATTGTGTTTAAGATTCAGAGAGGGAAGCTCCATGGCTCTCTTGACGTCAGCCTGGCTGTCATGTCCATCAACAAGAAATCCAAACGCATAGACCTGGATGCTGGAGACAACCTCTACCATCTCAAGGTAACTGATACAATGCAGTTCCCATGGTTTTTAGAACCACTGAGTTGTTAACAGGATTATTAAGTGGGAATAAGACACAAATAGTAGTCGATGGCCATTTCCAAAAATGTATTTCACAATCTAGAGGATCTGAATAAAGTTTGAAAACCAAATGTCTGGTCATTCTTTCATCTGAAGTACATATAACATGTAACACTTTCTCCTTGTTCCCCTGTTTTTCAGTTCATATGTATCTTCTAATTGGCTTTCTCTCTCCCATTCCTTCCTGTTAGGCAAAGAGCCATGATATCTTCTACATCTGGCTAACCAAGCTGTGTGCCCATCGTGTTTTTCGGAAAAATGAGGCAATGAGTGTCCATCATGGCGTCCTTCATGCTCTCTCCGCGGGCCAGAGTGCCCTGCCAGCCATGGCCACGCTTGCCCACAAAAACAGAGCAACAGTCAGTGGAGATTTCTGCTCAAACTAAAACAGAAATTCAAATATCTGATGTAGTAACTCAAAGGTTTTCCCCTCAAGGGTGCAGCTCTAGAGCCATCACTAATGACACAGAAATTTTATATAAAATGCCTTTTTCATCCCTGGTCAGTACCACTAAAATGTTAAGTAATTACAAATCCTGTCCATTTGATACAATTTTATTTATTTTCAGCCAAAATCCAAGAAGATTTAAACTATAATGAAGTTGATGTTGTCAGACACACAAATCAGGATTTTGGCAGCAGCAAAGCAGCAGCTTGCAAGTGACTGCTGTTTAACATGTAGTCTTAATAGACCACAAAACTTGTTCGATGTCATGACAACAGAAACAGAAAAATATGTAAATGAGAACAGCTTCATTGTGAATTCAGCTGTATCAAAATACTATATATGTGAGCACAGAGAGGAGGAGAGAAGAGAACAGATGAAGATCTGAAACCAGCTGACATCAGGCAAAATGTAAATAGCCTGTGACGCAGTCCAGCCATATACAAGGTTTTGACTTGTGATCCATTTTATTTTCTGTCGATCGATTAATGGACAACAATTCCAGCATTATTTCCAGTATCGTCCACAATAACAGTTGTTTTATAGTTCAAAAGAAAAACTGAAGAAAAAGAAAACAAAATTTTTTCTGTCTTTAACTGTGATGTGTTTCATCCCTCAGCCTACTCACTATGCCAGCTCAGCCTCATTGTACCAACCAGAGATGGGAAGCCCCGCCCCTGCCATCACCTCCCGTCCAGAGGTGACCAGCAAGGTGTCAGCCTGGCTGCAGCAGACCCACGACATTGATGCAACCTCTAATGGTGAGAACCGCCATATTTAAATCCAGAAAATAAATGTGTGTGTATGCATACTCGCTGTGTGTGTTTGTGTGTTTGTGTGTGTGTGTGTGTGTGTGTGTGTGTGTGTGTGTCCGTGCGTCTGTTTTCTCATAGGTTCTAAACTGTGACCTTTTGACCTTCTGTCTGTCAGACCTGACTCGCTGTCAGGCAGAGCTGACAGAACTGGCTCAGCTCATCCAGCGACTCCATTGGCTAGAAGGAGGCCTGCCAATCACAAACATGGACCTGGAGATGAGAATCAGCATGCAGGTGAGCGTTCTTGTGACAAATGTAAATGTCTGATTCCTCAAATATTATTTCAGTGGAATATTGGAGATATACTGTCTTGTGTTTAACCTAAGTTTTGTCTTCTTATCGCTTTAATTGAACAAGTGAACCAATGTTAATGAAATAACACTTCAGGGGAGAAATTACGTAGATTGAACATATTGGAGGCATTAAATAGAGATAATCTGTTCATTTTTTACCACCGCTGTATGGGGAAAAAAAGGATTAGATTTAGATACTGTCATCTATACTTCAGTCTACAAATACATATTCAGCAATAGAAAACCATGTATTTTTAAGAGCTATAACTTGTTTGTCTCTGTTTTAGAATCTGTCCCTGGAGAAACCCAAGAAGAAGATGGGGAAAGTGTTTGGTCACTCCAGGACTTTGTCCCGTGTAGAAGCCATGGGGGGAATGGTAGGACTGACTTTAAGTACTTTAAAGGGATAGTTCAGGTTTTTTGACATGGGTTGTATGAAGTAGTCATATATAGGCATTGCATTTCCTGCTGTAGAGTCTAATCAGCACGCTCCCAGTTAGAATAGCCGACCGGGGGCACCGGCAGAGTGGCAAAGCTATGTGTTGCTGCGCAAGGGGCCATGAGAAAAAACATGTTTAGACACTTGTAAAAACGCCCACTGAAACAATCCAATATCCGTTTAAATGTATGCTTCATGTGGAATATTTAACACACCTATGGAGGACCTACGGATATTGTATTGTTTCCGTGGGCGTTTTTAAAAATGTCTAAAACCGACCGTTATGTCGACTTTCCTAACTGTGAACGCGCTGATTAGAATCTACTGCAGGTAATGTACCAACTATATATCTTACACAATCCCACGTCAGAAAACCCGAACTATCCCTTTAACCTTGAGTGCAGTGTTATGATTCATCATAATGTTAGTTACATCCTTTATTCATCAAGATTCAACTTGATGAATAAAAGATGTAACTATCAGTTTGGTATCATACCATCGTCTTATCTGTCTTGTTTTCTCCAGTTCACCTCCAGCCACCTGAGTACCAATGCCTGCTCTGGTATGGAAGGGTCTGTTCAGTCTATCCCTGACTATGTCTACTCTCAGTTGTCCAACCCTCATGGTACCTCACCTGAGACTAAGAAGCTCCACCAGGACATCTGCACTGTTTCCCAGAGGGGTATGCTGCAATTAGAAACCAAATATAATTACATATTAGATCCTATTACACCAAATTATACTACTAATTAATGAAAATATAGCCTACTACTATACAGCATTTAAAAGATCATAGTCTAAAGAGAAATAAAATACAATGTCATATCAGATCCAAAATATGCTACAGTTACAGCTGTTGTACAAATGATGCTGTAATACTTCACATTGACTACTTCCATCATGGACCTATCCCTTCATTAGACAGCTGTAATTAGAGGAGTGTAATGCATTATTATATTATGCGGCTGTTATCGTTTCACTTTCCTTACGATCATTAGTTGCTCATTAAAAGAAAACTATACCAGAAACTAAAGTCAAAGCACATCGAGTGACATGTGGGTGCTCCTTCATCTGTCCGTTGTAGTCTGGATGTTGTCCGTAGTCCCGTGCACGTTGTACATACCAATAGTTTCTACTCCAATATGTTGACACACATTCGGCTTTGGAAGCTGCCAGTGCACTGAATCTTTATTTCCCACTGTTACACACTAATTTGATTTTCTTAGAGGGTAATTGGCAGCATATTAGCAGCAACAACACACACAGAACTGTACCGTAAACTGAAGTGAAAACCACCTGCAAATTGTGATTGTTTTTACAGCTTGTAAGTGATAAATCAAACAGTTGTTACTAGTAGTTCCTTCATTAGCTACTTCATCATTATATCACAATAAACTCCCTACAATCAAATCACGCACAGCAAGTTTCCAAACAAGTATTTTAAACATATTCAGGCCACATATATATAAATAATCACACCCACGTTATTTCCTGATCAATAGTGATTACAATGACTTAAAATAAGTGTAAAAACAGAATATCATTTTAACTCATCTCTAACATTTAATAATGGATCTATGTGGAAAGGCAGTTGCACAAAATACAAACTGCCTTCATATTCTTAAAAATCATTTTGAATATTTACAAAACGCTCCAACGTCTAACAAAAATAATACATTGTTTAAAAATGAATGCCACTTGCAGTGTTTGACACACTGAAAGTTACCTTGACTGATTCAATCCACATTTCTCCTATCAGATTTGTCACATTTACACTCCAGCGGAGATGACAGACTTCAGCGGAACGGTAAAAAAGAAAAATTGTCCCTAGTTCAGCGGAGACTCAGCTTCATTCCGGCACAGCATCACATCGCAGGTTGTATTAGTTTCAAAACTGTTGAACAAATACAGATGACTGGCGGTTTATATCATACTACCTATCAGACACGCATATCAAGAGCCGCCACAAGTTAGTTAGCGTTAGCAGTTCCTTGATGACTTGAAGAATGAAGAAAGGTAGTGTGTGGCATTACAGTCTGCTCGCGGGAAGAGCACCTCATAAATAAATAACAGCGCTGTCCAAACGAATACTCCTTATGAACTCAGCAAAAGTGTGGTTGGTTGTGACACAATTTGTAAACGGATTACAGCATTATGGCAGAAGAGTAGCCGCGAGAAGACAAACATTTGAAAAAAGCGAAAGAGTAGCGGAAAGATACAAATTTCTAACTTCCAGTCGGGACTTTCACAATAAAACCAGAGCAGACGTACGATGCAGATCGTGATTCTGGTCACAGCTTGCGATTCCACATAAATAGATAGTAAAATTATCTTTTGGCCAGATCGCCCATCCCTACATACACTCCTTTTTGCTTAGGTTTTACATGAAAACATGACTTTATAGAATGACCACGCTATCATCTTGGCTTTTATTTGAAAATATTTACCTTTTCTTCCTGCCACCTGACTGACTTTCTTCATTCTTCCATTCAATGAGGAAAAATGAAAAAAGGAATTTCCAAACACTTAATTAAAGTTAATGACTACCGTGTAGTGTGGCAGTGCTACCGTATTGTAGGTCAGATAATTTTTACTCCTGACAATTTCCATCAAAGATGATCGCTCCCGCATACCTTGACTTTTCATGGCAGCATCAGCTAACAGCAAGCATGCTAACGCTGACTAATTTGCAGCTCTGGATATGCGCTCAGATGACTGGTTAAACAGATACAGATGACTGGCAGTTAGCATCATACTACCTATCAAGGTAGTTTTGAAACAAATGCAACCTGCGTTGTGATGCTGTGCTGGAATGAAGCTGCGTCTCCGCTGAGCTTGGGATATTTTTTTCTTTTTAACCGTTCCGTGGAAGTCTCCATCTCCGCTGGAGTGTAGGACTGTAACTTTACAGCTGTGCCCATCGACACACGTGACAAATCTGCTTGGAGAAATATGGATTGAATCAGTCAAGGTAACTTTCAGTGTGTCAAACATCAGTAATATATTGTTGCTCTGCAAGTGGCATACATTTTTAAACAATGTATCATTGTTGTCAGAGGTTGGAGCGTTTTGTAAATATGCAAATGATTTTTTAAGAATATAAAAGCAGTTTGTATTTTGTGTAATTGCCTTTCCACATAGATCCATTGTTAAATGTTAGAGAGTAGTTAAAATGATATTCTGTTTATTACACTTATTCTTTTAAGTCATTGAGTGATGACAATGACTTAAAAAATAAGGGTAATGAACAGAATATCATTTTATCCGAAAATAACATGGATGTGATTATTTATATATATGTGGCCTGGATATTATGATTAAAATACTTGTTTGGAAACTTGCTCTGTATGATTTCTTGGTAGGGAATATATTGTATTGTAAAAATTAAGGAACTACTCAGTAACAACTGTTTGATTTATCACTTACAAACTGTAAAAACAACCACAGTTTGATGGTGGTTTTCACTTCAGTTTACAGTAGAGTTCTGTTGTAATGTGCTGCTAATTACCCTCTAAGGAAGTGTTTTTGTGTTTGTTGTGTTGCAGTTCATTCTTCTCTCACATCCATTCACGAGGTTTTATCCTTGGAAAGAGAGAGACTGAGGGAGGCTTGGACTGGTCCAGACCTGAGACAGAACACCTCTCACCAGCTCGCCACACTGTGCAGCACACTGTCTGAAGTAACATGAACGCGCACACACACACACACACACACACACACAAAGCCATGAGCTGCTGCCAAAAGCATTAATTCTAAATCACAACATGACAAATCTATCTCTCTTTACCTCTTTGTTCACTTCTTCACCACCACCTCTTACTTTTCCTCCTGGAATCCCAGAGCTAGAACAACATAAAACACAATTTGGCACAAAAATTTAAGTATCGACCTGCAAAATACAATGTAGGCCAAGCCCTCAGTGTCTGTTGGTGAGGGCTGAGTGAAACTGTTGAGCAGGTTTGGGCTGTTTCTAGACAAGACGGGCTTAAGTTATCACAGGTGCAACCTGAAGGACAACACCTTAAGTCTTTCATTCCCTCTTTCCACATACACAATGACACAAATAACAGGATCGTTGTCACTCACTGAAACTGAGCAGTTGCATCCGTGGTGGGGCTTGTTTATTCCTGCTGTCAAACTGACGGTGCTCAGTAACCCTTCTTGTTTGGTGTTGCATGAGGTTTTTCTTTGGCTGCCTGCCCTGTTTTCTGTCCGTGCTGCATGTTACTGTACGTTTGAACAAAGGGGACATGAGTTGATGTAACTTCTCACTATGAGCGATGCACTCAACAGTCAACAAGTCGGTTCATTCCTGCTCTCCTCTCTGCATGGAGAACACATCAGGGGTTGTTGGATGCAGCTTTATCCTCTGACCCTGCTAACAGTCAGACAATAGAGTGACACAATGATCAACACCATGCGTTGTGTGAATGCTATGGAGTCTGCATGATATTCTGATCATGTATTTTTGCTCTTCTGTGCTTCCTCTTCTTGTGTCCTGCATGGCTGTGTATGTGTGTGCATATCCATGCATGTGTATAGCTTGACATACAGTCACGTCTGACCAAAGTCCATTCACTTTCCCTGTCCTCTGACTCTACTGAGGGATCCTTCTGCACTGTCTGTCCGGACCAGGTGTGTACTGCGTTGTGTGTGAACGTCAGTTTGTCTTATTGTGTATGGCAATTTCATGATCTTGCTGTTGATCTGTTTTGCATGTCTCATCATATGTGTCTACACATGCCTGTTAGCTACGGATCTGTCTCCACTTCTTACCTTTGTACCTTATTTGTTTCTTTCAAGCAAAGACTTTAGTTTGAACCACCAACCCTTTTCTCCTCTTTGCTGTCCCTCTTCTTCTCTGCTGCCTTGCAGAGGACACCATCTATGGGCCGTCACAGTCATCGTGCGCCATCAGTGGCAGAGTCCATGGCAGAGTATTTTGATGCCAGTGAGGTGATTGTATGCGAAAGCTCGTCAGAGGCCGAGGCTTCGGATGAGTCAGGCCTCAGTGACATCACCACCACCAGCACCTCAGAGCCAGAAGAGGGACATAGTGAGTGTTTACCTTGCAGCAGGTTATCTGTTGCAGTCAGACCATCCTGCCCAATCACACTCCAACACTTTCTGACTAACTCGACAGTAGATAAAGTTTAAATGGAATGAATGACTGACTCTGTCCTCTCCTCCTCCTCCAGCCACTGCTACCCTCAACTACAGAGCCAGTCTGAACAGCGCTCCTGACAAACTCAACTCAGTACCCACTGATACTGGTAACACCACCACTAGTGTTGGCTCATTTATGTTGTGAATGAGTGCAGTGATGTCTGCTGTGTACTGCATACTATATACTGTGACATGACTTTAAGAACAGGATTCACATAGCTCACAGAACTATACTGACACTTGGAGCTTTTCATGCACATCATATATAGTGTTATTGACCTGAAGTCTTATGTTGTAATAAATTAATATGAACTATTTTGGGTGACGTCTGCAGATCGGAGTTGCAAACAACACTTATTGTAGCCAGATATAATATCATTAGTTCTTCAATTTGGAAGCGTGGCTCACTTATTTCAACTGGACTAGTAAAACAAGATGCTGCTTCCTGATGGCACAGAGAGAGAACAGGCTCAGCGGTGAAAGAACACAATATGATCACAATTTGAAAGCAAAATGCGAAGCACCTCAAGCAAGAGGTGCAGGTTTAAACTTAGATGGATGGATAGATAGATACTTTATTTATCCCCTAGGGGAAATTCAGGTGTCGAACAGCTCATTAGAATTTATAATAATAATAAGTTAGCCAAGCACAGACCCACTTTTTTTGATCAGCTTGTTCAGTCTATTTGTCTTCATGTCAGAAATGCTGCTGCTCCAGCAGACTGCAGCAAAAAAGGACACTAGCCACCACTGACTGATGCAGACATGTGACATGTGCAGCATTTCAATGCAGACGTGAAAGGACCTGAGCCTCCGGAGGAAAAAAGAGCCAGCTCTGCCCCTCCTGGTAGATGACATCCCTGTTCAGGGACCAGTCTGGAAATTTACTGTCCAGGTGCACACCTGGGCATTCATAGGTGTGCACCTCCTCAATGTCCTTCCTTCAAATGTTGACTGGCTGAAGGGTGGGCCTAGAGCTCAGAAAGTTGACCATCTCCTTGGTCTTGGAGGTGTTCAGAAGGAGGCTTCTCTCTCCATTCACTGAGGGCCATTGTCAGTTCTCTGTACTCCTCTTCCTGCCCGTTTCTGATACACGCCATAATAGCTGTGTCATCCGAGTATTTCTGGATGTGGTAGGACTCAGAGTTGTATTTAACCCTAGCCCCAGTGCTGCTAATCACTGTCCCTGAGACACAGTTACCCAGCCTGTCTTGTCAGGTAATCCACAATCCAGGACGTTAAGCAGGGATCCAACCCCATCCCTTCAAGCTCGTCTTTAAGAATGAGGGGGTGGTGGATGGTGTTATATGCACTTGAAAAATCAAAGAACATGATCTTCATGTAACCACCTGGCTCATCCAAGTAAGAATGGGCTCGGTGGAGCATGTAAAGGAAGGCATCATCCAATTCAATATGTTCCTTGTAGGCAAACTGTAGGGGTACATGTTCAACCTGTGGCCTCAGAAGGTGGAGATGCAGCTGCTCCAGGGTCTTCATGACGTGTGATGTGAGGGCTAACGGTCTGTAGTCATTTATCACAGCCAGAACAAGACATGATGTTTTCCACAAGGACTAGGACCCTCCCTGTTTGTAGACTTAAGTTGAAGATCCTCTGGAGAGGCTCAGCCAGCTGGGCTGCACAGTGCTATAACAGCCTCGGATACACACCTCCGAGCCTGTAAAGCCACAGGACGTAGCCTCTTGAGCTCTGGCCTCACCTCCTCCACTGTAAAGGACAGGAGACTTGAGTGAGTGAGGATGGAGTTGCAGTTGCAGTGTCAGGTTGTGAAGGAGATGCTGTAGGAGACGCTGCCGCTGAAGCAGTGGGAGAGAGAACAGGTGAGGTTGTGGCACACCTATTGTAGAACAGGTTGAACTCATTGGCCTTGTCCACATCACCTGACGTTGCCTGGCTGTTCTTCTCTTTATAGCCAGTGATGGTCCTAATTCCCTTCCACACCTCTCTGGCGTTGTTGTGCTGCAGCTTCCTCTCCACTTTCTTTTTGTAGTCCTCTACAGTAGTAGTCCGCCTGCTTTAATTTCCTCTTCAGCTGATGTTGCACACACCTGAGCTTCTCCCTGTCTCCGTCCTTGCTGGTCCATTGTCCATACAGAAGTTAATGTTGTCTGTGGTACATTCGACCATTCTATCAAGGTCAGTGTCCTTGCTATTATCATTTTCCTGTGACTCCAACAGTACATTCCAATCTGTGCACTCAAAACAGTCTTTTAGAGACTCACGGGCCTCCGGGGTCCAGTTCCTGAATGAGCAGGTGGTTACAGCCTGCCTCAGTACACAGGTTTTGTAGAAAGGCTGAAGAAAAAACAGATTATGATCTGATTTACCAGAGATGGTGGTAGGGCTGAAACAGTGTAAGCCTCCTTGGCATTTGCATACAACAGATCAAGTGTCATTTTCCTTTGTGCGACAGTCAACATACTGAGCGAAGCCAGTCAGATGAGAGGTGAGAGTGACATGGTTAAAATCCTTGATATTGCAATAAATGCATCAGGGTGCTGGGTCTACTCTCGCAACAGTCTTGTGAATGATGTCACACGCGACTACAGGCTCCGCTCTTGGCTGAATGTAAACAACAATTGTGACGATGTGAGAGAACTCCCTCGGTACATAGTATGGTCTAAGAATTCAATATCCTGACAGCAGATCCTCTCCTTCACTGTGATATGACCGGGGTTGCATCATTTATTGTTTACAAACAGAACCAGTCCTCCACCTTTACTCTTTTCACTTGCTCTGGTGTCTCAATCCACTCGAATGAACGTACTCCTTGTCTGTCAAGTTACATAGGCAGCATTTTATGTATATTTGATCCTTTGTTTTCATTATATATATAGATATAGAGATAGAGATATAGATATATATATCTATATATTTATAACATATTTGGTTTGTTTTTGATTTATAGTTATTTATTTATTTTTATAGTTATTTTATTTAATTTCCAGTGAAGTTTACCATTTCAGTGCACTGATGTCATATTGGACAATAAAGTTTATTGTTAAACTGTATATATATCCTGCTTTCATTACATGTCATTTTCACAAGTGTTATATATATACAGAATTTTTTTACTCCCTAATATCACCCTCAGCCCCAAAAATCCAATATCGGTCGGGCTCTATTTAATTCCATATCTGGTACACTTTAGAGCCAGGAGTTCTACTTTTGTGTGCATTATTTTCTCCGTCGTCAGACAAAAAACAACAATGTAGAATTAATGTCTTTCATCAATCAACAAAAAACATCTCTGGGGGTCTATGGGGCAGTGGGCTGGCCCGGACGCTCGGCTTCTGCATGATGATTGGATGATCTGTCTGAGGCTGAGTCCCTTTTTGATTGACAGCGAAATGAGCGAATCAGCGATCTTGAAGTATAAGCATCCACCGGAGCACTTTTCAAGTTTTTCATTCCGTTGTTCGGAGTTGATCTGGAGACGTTACTGATCCTCAGCGACTTTGTCTTTGTTAAAAACGACTAGCGTTGTGTTTGGCAACTCTCTTCTGTCACTCTTCGAATTTACATATAAATAAACGGACACATTTTATGATGTAGGCCGAAAATGAGCTTCCCCTCATTATAAGACCAGCAGCCGCCACTGCCCCCCACTAATATACTGCAAAATGCTATGTACTAGCATTTTACAGTAAAATATACTGACATGCTATGAGGACTTGCTGCCAGTGCATCATTTGAATAATAATTATATTAAACTTAAACATTATAAGATGTTTAAGTTTCCTTCAGTTATGCTGTTGGTGTTTCTGTGATCCAGGTCGTCGGACCGCTCTCCCTGCACCAGGAACAGACAACAGCCACATTGGGATCATGACCATCCTGTACAACAACATTGGCAAGGACCTGTCCAGAGTGTCTATGCCAGTCGCTCTGAATGAGCCGGTATCTTTGCTGCAGAGACTCAGTGAAGAGCTGGAGTACTCTGACTTGCTAGACATTGCCAACCACATTGACGATCCATTTGAGAGAATGGTGAGTTTGGTTTACTAAAATCACTAACTAGTTGAAGCTGAGATACAGCTTAGCTCAGTGCTAACTTTAGCATGATTGACATGATATTTATTTTTTAATGTGTATGTTGCTAGGTTTATGTGGCAGCATTCTCCATCTCTGGCTATGCCTGGGCCTCTTGGAGGTATCGCTATAAACCCTTCAACCCTGTTCTAGGAGAAACATATGAGAGTCACAGAGAAGACAGAGACTTCTATTACATCAGCGAGCAGGTAACCAGCAGAAAAAGATATACAAATATGTCAACATCTGGGTTTAGAACAAACTGTAATTCCGTGTTGCATGTTGTGTTTTCAGGTCTGCCATCACCCGCCCATCTCTGCCTGCCATGCTGAATCAGAGAACTTCACTTTCTGGCAAGGTAGGATCAGTGTATTCACTGATTAGTGCTAGGTCCAGCTTTACTGTATGAGTACAGTTAAACATAACGCTCCATTTGTTTCTGTTGGTTTGTCTGCTCTCAGATCAGAGATGGAAGAACAAGTTTTGGGGGAAATCAGTGGAGATCATCTCTTCTGGACTGGTCAATGTTACTCTGCCAAAGTGAGCCACTGCTTCCTTTAACAACACCAGTCACAAAGTACAACAGATAACAGCCTGTTCTACACCTCTAGTATAACTGCTAACATATAGTTTAAGTACAGCCATGCAGTAGTATGCCTGCTCATACAATACTCTAATAAGTTCTACTATATTGTGAACTATTAAGTGGTGTAGAGGTCACCAGTGTAAGGTTTTTCATTTTTTCATATCAATATTCTTTATACATGAAAAAAGCAGGCAGACATCTGAGGAAGTTCACTGATAAAAATCTAGCTCATGTCCAAATTACCAGTCAATTTATTTCTATTGCTAAAACTAAACTTTTATATTGAGAAACTTTATAGTAGGTTTCAGTTCTTCACCGCTCTAAAACAGTAGCCTACACAGACAAGTTGCGCTGTGCAGCCACTGGCAACTAGTGTTGTAGAGTGGCGAAGAAGAATTGATTTCTGGTAAGTAGCCTAACGTTAGCTGTTGGCCGATGTCCAGGTCCAGACCTAGAGGCTGTCCTGTCCCCGACCTACAACCTATAAATTGCTGAGAATTACTTACTTAGTGTTTCTGTTTGAAATGATGCAGCTTTTCTCACCTTATGGCGCTAGTCACATAATGCTACTCAGCCAATCATTGTGACTCAGTGAGTGAGAAACACATACAAATGGTGAGATGAAATGAGAGATGAAGTTAGCGAAATAAGTTGGTGAGCCTCAGCATATGATGGCTCGCAGTAGTAGGCAACGACAGTTTTAAATTCTTTTTATGTATGTTTTCATATATGAAAAGACCCAAAATTAACACTAAGTGGATTACTGGATTAATATAAACAAATTAAAACAACCCACAAAAAAGTGGTTGATCACTGTAACCAAGTGGTTTCTACTGTAATGAAATATTCTGTTCAGTCATGTATTTGTTCATATTTTACAAAGGGTTTAACCTGAGCCATACAACAATGGCAATCATACCACACCCATACAGGGTTAGTAGTATACAGCTGTAAAAAAATTTTTTGACTCATCGGTATCAGGTTGGTACTTGGTATCAGCCGATATACAAGTTCAGGCATTTGTATCAGTAAATATCTTTTGTGTCCGGTTGACATAATATTAAGGTATCTTTTTAGTGGTGTGGTAAGATTAGTTGAGCTTTTGGAGACTTGTGGCTGTTTTTGGCTTAGTCACCTCTCTCACATTAAAAGCTGTTGCACACGCTACAGACTGGTAGATGAAGTTATAAGGTGAATTTCAGCCTGACGTCTCGTAATAAGACTGACTGACTTTATTTGAATGATAAAATGAAAAAGACAAAAAACAAGAAAGCATCTTCTTTCCTGTGTTTAAGCCCTCACTAATTTCACTGTGATAAATATGGATGCATGTCCAGAGTGTGGACATGCATCAGATCGCCTCTGAAAACAGGCAACAATACACAAAATGATTCAATGATCCTTATGAGGTCAAACATTATTGCACTGTTTTGTGTGTAGGTATGGTGATCACTATGAGTGGAACAAGGCAGTGACATGTATCCACAATGTACTGAGTCAGCAGCGGTGGTTGGAGCACTATGGTGAGGTGGTCATCAGAAACACAAAGAGCAACATTTGCACCTGCAAGATCACCTTTGTCAAGGTGAGGACACAAAGAAAAACACACACACACTGTTGATGTGCTCCCTCCCTTACAAGTCAAAATAATGGACATGGACTTTTCATCTGTCCTTTTCTCTCCTCTTTACCACTGTTTCCTCCTTATTCTAGTCTCGCTACTGGTCCTCAGATAACAGTAAGAACGAGGTGCAAGGTGTGGTTCTGGACCAGGCTGGAGAGGTGGTCCATCGCTTCGGAGGACTCTGGCATGAAGGCATCTTCTGTGACACCCTCTCTACACCAAAGTGCATCTGGAAGCCCAGTAAGTGGCATTCCAATTGCCCAAATCTTTTTTTTTTTATTCTTTTTTTTTAACATCTCTCCACATTGTCCAGTGTTGTAGTTCTTGACATGCACAATGTTTCCTGTTTAGACGTGCAGCCTGATGATCACTTCCAGTTCTACGGCTTTTCACATTACGCCAGAGAACTAAATGAACTGACACCTGACCTGAAGGCCGTTCTTCCTCCTACAGACACACGCTTCAGACCAGACCAGAGGTACAGACAAGAGTTTGATTTATTTAAACTAGTCACAGTGCAATGTAGATCTGGGCAATAAACCCAGAAAGTATCAAAACCGACATTTAGAACCTCTCACCAATTTATTCTCATTCATGTTGGTCAATTCGGTTAATACTTTCTCCAATTTGTTGGTTGCATGGCCCAGAGTGATTGTTAATGAATTAGAATCAAGGTAAAACTTAGTAATTGATTTGTCATATCACCCAGCCCCAGCACAGAGCCTGTTCAGAGCTTGTTCAAAATGTTCCTGTCAGTCAGTTTAGTTGGGGAGGAACGGGTTCTGTTTACAAATTAACATTCTGTCACGTCACTGATTACATCACAGTTTATTTGAGGTTAGGGTATGCTAAGGTTAGGATCTTGACAACTGCTCATCCAAAACACTTCACAGTGGACACTGCATTTCTTTGTGTCCTCAGAAATACAGACATACACTCGCCAAGTTTGAATCGATTTGAAAGACAAAAAAAAGGACAGATTTCTGGAGCTATTAGTTGGATTGATTGTCCTACTGCCCCATCTTTCATGTTGCCCAGTTGTTAAATTCCTGTTCCTCTTCTCTCCATCAGGCTTCTGGAGGAGGGGAAGGTAACAGAGGCAGATAAAAAGAAAGACGAGGTGGAGGAGAAGCAGAGGGAGAGAAGGAAGGAGATGGCCAAGAGAGGAGAGGAGCACATCCCCAGGTTCTTCAGGTGTGAAGTTGTGCTTTTGAGCATTTGTTTAAAGATGACCTGAGACCTCTCAACATGTTAAGAGTCTTATATGAATCTTTCAGAGAGATTTAGGTAAACAAAAAAATAGTAGTCAGTAATAAGTAAAAATATTTTGATGTTAATTGGAGACACTCCAAATTTTGTTTATTTATATTATACTATATACTATAGTGCGACAGTGAGTATGTAGTTGTATGTTGTACAGAATTAGTATGTATTTGATTTGGGACAGAACTTATTTTTTGGCTAGCCACAGTAATGACAAGATACATAATAACTCCAATGTGCTTCAGTTTGTGAACAGATCAAATACATGTGATGTGCTAATTTAATTCAAGATGCTAGACTAACTCTTTCTCCTTGTTTCAAGTTTTTGTGCTAAGCTAACTGGCTTCATACCATATCACTATACAGATATGAGTGAAACTATTCCTTTTAAAATGTTTATTTTTGAAATAAACAATTTTGCAGGAGGTGTAGTGAATGTTTTTCTTTGTGTTCTCAGGAAAGCTGTGGATGAGGCCGGCAGAGAGGTGTGGCTATACAATGGAACCTACTGGAAGCTCCGCAAAGACCCAGGTTTCTCCAACATACAAAACCTGGACCTGTATTAGAGTACTGTACCTGGCTTCATGCTGATGCTGGATGAAACCAGCCAGGTGCTAAACACATGCTAACATGATATTGATGAATAATGCTCTCCTCTATTAGTAAAAATGATTTGTTGTACTCATTAGTCCACTAATCTATGCTGTAGAGGAGAGGGACGTTTAAAAGCATACATGAACCTTTTGCTGTGTTTTTGTGCCACATAGAGGTGAAGTGCCCCTGTGGAACAGATAAAGACTGATCTAGATTAAGCCAGATGTCTTTCCAGCCTTTTGCCTACCTCTAGCAATAATGGAGACATTAAATATAATTATTCATGATTCAGTATCTATCTATAACAGCCCTGGAGAAAATTGTGGTTAAAAATCTTCAAGTATTTCTGTCAAGACTGAGACCTCTCTGCATGTAAAGTGTCTTATCTGTATCTTGGGAAAATGTCAGATTATATCTTATACCTTTGCTAGTTTTAACATGTCTGTATTTTTATTATAGTTGTGATGAGTTTGGAAATGAAGTGTCAGAAGCTTGCTTCCTGCAGAGCTAATTCTGATACTTTTGTGGTGTATTATAGGTGAACTGGTGCTGTCCTGCTTCTTCTCTCAGTGGGTCTTAATGTATAAACTCATGTTGATTTGTAAAGTCTGTGTGTATTTCATTTCATGATGTTTAGTTGTGGCACATTGGTGACGCACTGGTTTCTTAAAGTATCCTTACGCTGGACAAATACAGCTGACAGATGAGGACCTTTTTATGCTCTGTTGATGCAGTGAAGTATTTTTATTGATGTATCAACAATTTATTTTAATGAGGAAAAAAGACTACTGTTTATTCCTGATCAAATGTTTTTCTTTGGTTTTCTTTCAAATAAAGGGTTCTATAATCAACACTGTTTCTTGTTGAACTTTGGACCAAATGCTTCATGTCCAGAAGGTCAGAGGTAAATGAAAAGTTCAATGCAGTTGTAGTAAAGACCTATTATAAGTGATTTATAGTTGTAATGGCACATAAGGACATTTTGCTTATGCGTGACACAGTTTGTGATTTTGTATCTGTGAAAGGTTCCATACAGATACACTTTACACTTTACTGCTAAATGAAGTATTTTATAGGCTACTGTTGTGACGATTAATCTACAACTGTGCATTTTAAAAGCTCATATGTTTTGAAGGTAAAATTTTTAGGTAAATGTGCAAAGTAGCAGAGCTGAAGATGTCTAGAGTAGAGGTTTAAAGGAGTATGAGATGTAAATACTCAGGTACCTCAAATATGTACTCAAGTACAGTGCAGGAGTAAGTGTACATTCTACAAGTGCTCTCTCAAGACTACATCAGTCTGTGACCTTCAACATTTAACACAAGTTTGAATTTAAATTACACTTCTTACTTATTGAGATCATTTACAGCTCACTGTACACTTGTGAAAAGTAAAAGTAATTTAGTTTTGATACAGTAATGTAATTCCTATCGTATTTAATTCACTGAACTCTCCTCTGAGACCCTGAATGCAACCAGCCCCACTGGCACAGGAGAAGATGGTAGCATCCTCTCCCAACAACTTCAGACTTAAAATTATATCTACAAGTCTGGACACAAAAACGTGCATTCCATGTGTCTATAAACCAGAATGTACAGGTAACACCAAAATGAATAGTAGAAAAAAGTTGCATACATCAGAACAAGCTGAACGTTTTGATAGTTGGATGGTTTTTGTACAAAAAAGTATGAAGGAGTGGTTAGAGACTGTAGAAAGGCGGAAGAAGTAAGAATAACTAGAAAACGCATTTCCTGCTTAAAATGTGTGTGAATGCTAAGAGCTGAATGAGATCGCTGAAGCAATGCTGAAGAAGCTGAAGCCATGGCTGAAGATTAAAAGCAGAATTTGTAAGCTGGAGTTTGAATGGCATAAAATGGTTGAAAAAGACCTGAATTGTTGATAAAAGTTTAACAAACAGCATGAAACTCGACAGAAATTTACAAAATGTACAAACCAGAAAAACATCTAACTTTACTAAGTTTTCTAAATGTTAAACTGGAGGAGCTGCACTCCATAATGCAAAGGCAGAGAATTGAAACATGTTGCTGAAACAGTTGAAAGCCAAATTATTTACTGGAAAAGGTAGAAGTAGGAATAAAATTCTGAGTACTGATGATGAAAGATGAACTGCATCCTAAACAGAAACTTAAATTTAAGATATCAATAAGCTGAATAATTGCTTAATATTCGGAAGTGTTTTGAACACTTTAAAGTTTGAATGAAGCCTGTAGCTGAAAAAAACGTATTATTTCAAAAGTGAATGAATAATATCAAAAAGTTGAAGGCAAGGATACATCTCCTGAAGAAGCTAAAAGTTTTGATAGTTTAATTGTTTATATAGCACAAAGTATGCAGGAGTAGTTAACCACCGAAGGAAAGTAAAAGGATGATCATTATACCATCAGTGGAGCAGATTAAATTCAATATGTCTGCTGCTGTATTTACCGTCTGAACTGGTATCTCCCAGTATGATACGTAAACAGCTTTCTGTGTGTGTGTGTGTTATCTGTGTGCGTGTGTCTGTTTGTATCTGTGTGTGTGTTTGAGTGCCTGTCTGTGTGCCTCTCTGCTTGTCTGTATTTATGTGTTTCTGTGTCAGTTAGGATGACAAACTGAAATTAGCTGCCAAGTGCTTCCTGATTGACAACTGGACTAAAACATATTTCCAGTGAAAACAATTTATAAGTGTGTAAATAATTTTAAGACTTCTGCTGCTTAGCTGTGCAGCAGCGCTATGCGTGCAAGGAGAGGTTAGGCCCAGTCCTGTGTTGTTGTAAAGTCCAGTGAGTTGGCAGGCTTCCTGGTGGAGTGATGTCCTGCCTGGGTGTGCTGCTTCCGCTGTTATCTCCTTTGTTCTCCTCACAGAGTTAGCTGTTCCATGCTAACTCTGCTGTGACTACCATTGCTTGGAAAATCAGCTGACCTTGTGTTGTAGATGCTGATTCTGAAGAGAACTTGGTTTACTCTCAGTTAATCCGAAGCAGCTGTTGAGGAGAAGAGTGTTTGCAGGCTGCTGTGAGCAGGCTGGCAAGAGAGCTGGTTTCTCAGGTACCAGGGCTGACCTGGGGCCTTGTTGCCCTTTGAAGGTGGATAGGGGAGAGAAGGAGCTGCTCTCCAGAGCAAGCCAAGAAGAGAAGAGAAGAGAGGGAGAAGAGAGAATGAACAGAGAAGGAGATCTGGTTTTGTTTGGTGACACCCTGGGGGGTCACATGTCATATGACCAACACTGACTGGTAAGTGAGGTCCCTGCAGGAGGGTCATCAGGTGTGAACAGTGAGGAACCGTGTGGAGGTGAGTTCCTTTGTCTGTGGAGCAAAGAAACATCTGGTCTCTTGAATGAGTCCCAACAGAGTGTATATAAAATGTTTGCAACAGTAAAAGAGGAGAGAGAGACAGAGTGTGTAAATTTTGTTGCATGCAGGATTTCAGTTTATTTCCTGTCCATTCTAACCGATTGTGTGCATGTCTGAGCTGTGCAGTTAACACAACAGCCAGGCTACCTAACATTTTGGTCAGTGCCGTGTCTTTTGGTAGCTGTCAGGGACTCGTCTACGAGTGCTGACATTGGTTCAAGATCCAAAGGCTTAGTGCTTTGGATTCTAGTTGCATAGCCAGGTAGCAACTCTTCAGTCATATCCACCAATGCAATCTCCAAGTTTTCAAAGGAGTCATCATAGCTTGAAGCTTTCAATGCAGCTGAAGCTGCCATGTCTGATTTGCGAGGGGTAGACATATTGGTGGTTTGGTTACTTAGTTTAATTTATTATGTCGAAGTTCAAAAGAGAGGAAAAAAACAGTGAACAAGCAGGTTAATTTTAAAGGCAGTGTTTATGATAAGCCCATTCTTACTTGGATGAGCCAGGTAGTTACATGAGGATTTCTCAAGTGCATTTAACACCATCCAACCCCCCATCCTTACAGACAAGCTGGAAGGGATGGCGGTGGATCCCTGCTTAATGTCCTGGATTGTGGATTACCTGACAAGACGACCACAGGCTGGGTAACTGTGTCTCAAGGACAATGATGAACAGCACTGGGGCTCCACAGGGGATTGTTCTGGCTCCGTTCCTGTTCACCCTGTATACAGTGGACTTTAATTACAACTCCTTTAATTACAACTCCTGCCACATCCAGAAATACTTGGATGACACAGCTATTGTGGCGTGTATCAGGAACAGGCAGGAAGATGAATGCAGGGATTTGATGATGGCCTCCAGTGAATGGAGCAACAAGAACTGCCTCCTTCTGAACACCTCCAAGACCAAGGAGATGGTCATGGACTTTTGGAGGCCCACCCTTCAGCCAGTCAACATTCAAGGACACTGAGGTGGTGCACACTTATAAATACCAAGGTGTGCACCTGGGTAAACTGGACTGGTCCCTGAACATGGATGTGATCTACCGGAAGGGGAAGAGCTGGCTCTTTTTCCTCAGGAGGCTCAGGTCCTTTGATGTCTGCATTGAAACGCTGTATGTTTTATCAGTCAGTGGTGGCCAGTGTACTTTTTTATGCCGCAGTCTGCTGGGGCAGTAGCATGTCTGACAAGCTGGTAAAAAAGGCTGGGTCTGTGCCTTGCAGGTTGGTCTGGACTCACTCATGACTGTTGTGGAGAGACACATGCAATGTAAGATGGAAGTCATCTTGGACAATACCAACCACCCTCTCCACAACATTCTGGCAGGACAGAGAAGCAGCTACAGGTGCAGCAAACATCTCATCTAACTGTGCTGCAGAACAGAGAGGTTCAGGAGATTCTTTGTTCCCATTGCCATCAGGCTATACAACAACTCAGCCAAAGGAAGTGGACTAATCTAATTATTGTTATTATTATTGTTATTATTATTATTATTATTATCATCAACAATGAGCTAATGGACACATGAATTTCCACTAGGGATAAATAAAGTATCTATCTATGTGCTCTCATGCTTTAGAGTATTAAGGGTAAGAGTTAATGAGTCTAGTAGCCAATAAGAATCAGCTTGGTTCATTTCTGCCCAGATTCTGCATTAGTAGCAGTTCCCTCTGTGTGTGTGTGTGTGTGTGTGTGTGTGTGTGTGTGTGTGTGTGTGTGTGTGTGTGTGCTGTGTGAGTCTGGCTGTGAAACTTGTAAACCTTATATAGACCTTATATAGATCAATAACGAGCATCACCTGTGTGCAGCTGGGAGACACAGCTCACATGAGCATGTGTCATAAACACATACACATACACCCTGCTAGTTTGCCTTACACATGCTCTCATAGTTGAGAGTAATAAGAGTAAGAGTTAATGAGTAAGAATAAGAATCAGATTTGTTCATTTCTGCACGGATAATAAGAGTAAGAGTTAATGAGTAAGAATAAGAATCAGCTTTGTTCATTTCTGCACAGAGACTCAAAAAGGCTGGGTCTGTGCCTTGCAGGTTGGTCTGGACTCACTCATGACTGTTGTGGTATCTGTTGTGTATCCGTGAGGAGCTGCCACATCACAAAATGGCCACCAGGGCAACGAGTACCTCTCCCAGAATGCAGATACTCCATCCTACAATGGCCGCCACGGCACACACTCCAACTCCCAGAGTGCCTCACCGCTCAGACAGGTGCAGTAGCTTAAGCCACCAGATTGCAGCATGACTGAAAGGCATGTGGAGCAGAAGAAAGAAGGCAGGGGGGACAGAGAGCACAGGGCTAGAAGGAGCGGGATTGAAGCCACACCGGAAGGGATTGTGAAAGGACCCACCTTTAAAGGAAAGTGAACATTTTATGTTGGACTTTTATTTGAAATTCTGTTCAGGTTAAAATCGCCCTTCTCTCCGTTCGGACCTTTTAAGTTGAGTCACAGGCCTTGATTTTGAGTGGAAGAACGTAC